ACTGCGTGGCGCGGGCCACGACGGGTGAACGTTCAGTGACGCCGCGACGGCTGAACGCCCTGTGACAACAGGCCGGCCGCCCTGTCTGGGTCACAGCCAGAGGTGGGACGGTCGTGGCCAACATTAACCGATGTTTAAGTTTCGCTGGAGGTAATCCGTTAGCTGAGAAGATAAAGCATGTTAGAGATATGCAATGGCATGATGGTATGGCGTGGTATGGCATGACATGGTATTCATGGCATGATGTAAAACTTCAATGTGGCTTGACAAGTAAACTTCAAGGACATTTGGGTGAATCTGTTCATCTGTAAACTTTATAGCTTATCCAGAATATTTTTTTTTTACAACCAAAACCTTCTCAAAAGGAAGAAATGGCTAAGCTGTATCACTTTCCGTCCGATCAAGGTACTACAATTCACATGCGTAGACGCAGGTATCAAGTGTAGACGCATTTCACAATTAGTACTTATTTTCATCAGAGGTTTTCACTCACTTATTCTACCATTCCCTGCTCGCTCTCCTGTCGCAGCGGCTCCAGCCCTCACTGAATGACTGGGGGGATTCGGGACGATGACTCAATTCCACTTGCAGCCCACACCGCCAGAGCTGCAATATATCTATTTTGAACTGATCTGCGCATGAGAAGGCTCGTCGCTGATGTAGTTTTTTAGTAAAAAAGGATTTCATCAGTAAAAGTACGCATACCAAACCATGGATACACACCACAGATCACGGGCATCAACGCGGACAGCCGTCGTCGTCAGCATGCCGGCCTGGGCGGTCCCGGGTGTCGCGCCGGCCTCTGTGTAGCTGACGGATTCTGTCCCGCTTAGCTCGCTCCGTCGGTCCGCATCGGCATTTTTCCAAGATGTTTTTCCTCGGAACGATGGGATTTTTTTATTGAAATATTGGGGCAGCTATAAACGGAAAATTGCTGCTTGCAGCAGGTCACGATAGGTGCTTTTTCACGAATTACTGGGTCAGAAGTCGCGCCAGCATTCCACGTTCAAGTCCACATGAGCCTTGGCATTGCCTACGATCGTTTCCACATAACTCATATAGCCAAACCTTCCAACTGTTCCGACGTTGAGAAGCCTCACCGATCACTTGTGCTAAGGTTAACTTTCCAAACTCCATTTAAGATGCAACAAAAAAGTAAGGCAACGCTCCAAGCTCAAATTAAAATATAACAAAAAAGTAAATGACTAAGTGTGAGATGAGGTTATTGATTCCGTTATCATTCGACATTAACAAAAATATCGTTATCTTAACGAAAAATGTGCCTAGGTAACCAACTATGGAAGGAATTAACCGACTGATGGTGCCCAATGAGACTATGAGGACGCGCTGACTCAGGCGCTGCACCGGTCAGAGGCCATGTTTACATAATTTGTCCAGCGGTCGGTGGAGGCTCCCGCTGGAGGCTGGCCGAAACGGAGTCCAGAGACGGGGGCCATCTGTCAAACTCCTTCACTGAATGCAGTCGGTCAAGATGGCACGTGGGGCCCAATCCCACGTAATGAGTACATAACGAGCACTGCACATCTGAGGCTGGGAACACCACAGGTTCGTTCGCATCTTTAAGTCAGACAATAGATTAAAAAGCGCCCGAGATCGACGCAATACCGTTTCGAGATGGCATAGAACGGTGATCTCGGCTTGACAGACCTTGTGAGGACCGTGCCTTGAACTGAGGAATATAGCCATGGAGTCACATACCTCATGCAAGTTTAACTGTATAATCATGGAACCATACAACTCATGCAAATTAAATTATCATCAATGCCAAACGGGTGAAATTCCTGCCCCGAAACGACGCTTAACCATTGCGTTAAGCGGGGACATCTTCCCCATTTACACCAAAAAACGGCTGCTGTGGTAATTTTGTGATATTATCACGAATGAGATCACACTAATCTCAGACAAATGCCACCCGCTACATGGAAAACAAACTGTTTTTATGCTGATGAGTTGGAAGAACAGTCGTCACGGACCAACAGTATGCATAATGCAGGCCAAGAGTAACAATTACGCCTAACAACCAAAGCGGAGAGTGCACTTCAGACCGCGTACAACTGCGCGTTTCTAAAATCCGAGTCAGACATTTATTCACATAGTCGGCTCCCATTGCATTCGGTTTTCCACCGCTCCAGCAAGAGGAGCAAGCGTTGCAGGTATTACCGCACCTTCTCGGGCAGCGAGCAGCACCGAAGCCTTCTGAAGGTTGGCTCGGTCGGCTGGAAGGTGAGGGTTCTGTTCAGCGCTGACACGATTCCTGTCAGATCTCCGGGCTCTCGCGCGCGTCGGCGGCCGGTGGGAATCGGTCCCGCTCCGGCAGTGACCCCGATTTCTCCCGAGCGGCGTCGTCTGTTTACCGGCCGGGAGTTCCGGTCAGCGCCGGGTCACGGGACCCGGCAGAGGTCACGGGCCGATCGCCCGGCGCCGGCATCCCCCGCCGCCTAATGAACACCAGCAACATAAGCCGGCCCACCATTTGTCACGTAAAGGAATCGCCGTCAGGGAGGTGTTTTCGAAACGTTGGTGGAGGCCATTGCCGCCGGTGTGCCGCGCTGACGACGGTGGGCAGCGAGGGAGCACACGTCGAGGCGGTGCGGAGAGGCGAGGGCGAGCTGTACGACCACCGCGGCCACACCCGCTGTCAGCCCGCCGTCGGCGGCGACAGGAGCCGCAGCGGACTGCCGCCGTCGCCGCAACATGGCCGATGCGGGACCGCCGGCCAGCGATCGGCTGTCAGCTGATGAGAGGTCTGTCCAGAAGAGACCAGAAATCGGCTGTCAGCTGATGAAACATCTGTCAGCTAACCGGCGATCGCCTGTCAGCTGATGAAGAGGTCTACCAGCCGACCAGCAATCGGCTGTCAGCTGATGACAGATCTGTCAGCTGACCGGCGATCGGCTGTCAGCTCATGACAGATCCGTCAGCTGACCGGCGATCAGCTGTCAGCGCCCGCCGCACACGGCCACCAGCGCCGCGGCGCGCGTCAGCCGCCTCCGAGCTGGACTGTTACTCATCGCCCGCGGGCGCCAGGGCCCAATCACCAGCGTCACTTCGGTGACTAACAGCGGCGTCAACACGGCCGTCGGCCGGTGTCGGTTTTGACACGGTTCAGTGTTAGCTGCGCCCGGACGCGACGGCTGTCAAACAAACCGCGGCCGCCAGAGGCACGTCCAGAAACAGAAACGGGGCGGACGGCTCGGAGGGGACTGAGTCACTGAGGTCAGATCCCGTTATCTGGCCCGCCGACGGAGGTCCAACTCGGGCCGCAGCGCCTGCCGCTGGCACACACGGGCCGGTCCGGGTGCCGGTCTGTCTCGGCATGCACTCGCCCCCTCTGCTGCTGGCCGGATCTCCGCCCATCGGCGGGGTACACACACCGCCAGCACCGAGCCCCGCGAACGCTCACGGCTGGTTAGCCCGGCCCGATCACGCCGTGCACGCGCTCGATTGCGCCGTGCACGCGCTCGAACGGTGCCAAGCAACGGGCCAGCAGTGGCGAGAGGACCATGTTCCATCAGACGCCCGGCGGTACCCCGCTCCAGTCGTCAGCGGCCGATCGCCGAGCTGACGACACCGCGACATCGCGGGCCGGCCGTGCCCAGGCGGGCGGGCACCGCGGCCAGGCGCACCCGGGTGCGGTGCTCTAGCCATCCACGAGCTCGTTCGGCAGCGGCGCCAGGCGCGCCCGGGTGCGGTGCTCCAGCCATCCGCGAGCTCGTCCGACAGCGGCCCAAGGGGCGCCTGGATGCGGTGCTCCAGCCACCCCCGAGGTTGTCCGGCAGCAGCCCAATGGGCGCCCGGGTTCGGTGCTCCATCCATCCGCGAGCTCGTCGGACAGCGGCCCAAGGGGCGCCCGGGTGCGGTGCTCCAGCCGCCCGCCAACTCGTCCGGCAGCGGCGCCAGGCGCCCGGGCGCGGTGCTCCGGCCGCCCGCCAACTCGTCCGGCAGCGGCGCACACTTGTGCGGGCGTATCGCACTGACAGTGACTTATGAATTTACCGACATGCCCAAAACATATACATATAGACCCGAATTATCTTACCGCGCAAAGTACGAAAAGGACGGACAAAATTATGCACGGAGGCGTACCCATGTGGCGAGGAGGGCACAGACAGAAGGTTAAGTGTCTGCTGACTGTGTGCGGGATCAAACAATCTGAAAAACGGGCGCAAAAAGGCAACGCTGCTGTCGGCGCGACTGGCTCATCGTGCCTCAGGACGACTCGACCGGGTCGACAGTGGTCCATGAATAGCGCCCTCAATGAAAAGGTCATCAGAGTTGCGATTAGATGCGAAGTAGTCTGAATGGTTCATTAGGTCTCTTGAAACATAAAAGGACTGAGAAACCTACGGGTGGGACAATTCTAGCTGCAATGAGACTTCAGCCTCCAGAAGAGAGACGGAGTTTTATAGAGCGCTTTTGACTACGAAATGGTCCCAAAGCAGTCAAAGGACTACCAAATTTATGGGCCGACAAGTGAACCCCTGATCTAAAATCAAGAAACAAAAACAATGCGGGCGCATCAAAGAGCACCTCCCCAAACTTTACACGGGGTCCAATACCGCACAGAGGCTATCTAGGTGTCAATGCTTTCAGACACCCTGAAATCCGTGCGATAGTCCTCTGGGTGCAAGAGCCCATGGCACCCAAGTCGCCGGTAAACTGCCTGGAGGCTTGGTCCGGAGAGACGGCAGGAAAACGGTTCTCGCGATCGAGAAAACACGCGTCAAGAAATGGGCTGCATTACGCTCCACCAAGCGTGCTACAATCAACACCTTAAACCCAGCCTTCGCGTTCGAGGAAAACATTTCACGAAGTTCGACCATTTTTAAAACGGTTATTGCCTCGACGGCCAAAAATGATCGCGCATGAACTCGCCAGTGGATCTTGCATAACTACAGCGTTGCTTAATCGTCGTTCGACCACCGAGGCGGCGCCACTCGGAGGTCGCACTGCCACACCGACAGGCAAACTACACTTACCTCGTCTGCAGACCAGCGAAGAGCCAATCGAAGCTGCCTTCCAGGATCTGCAACCAGAGATAACCCTGTTAAGCGCGGGTGACAGCGAAGTGATCTGATCGCTCGGTTGGACACGAACAGGACAGCTGATGCATGACGATGCCAAGGGGAAGCACCTCCTCGGAAAGTCCATAAGGTGCATCACGGAACTTTACGTTGCTAAATAAACTAATAAGACCTGCCTCTCCAGACAACGCATGCTTTAAACCCAACTATGCGCGTCCGTGACGTCTTTGCTCGTGGGCGTTTGTCACCGCACCACTGCGCCGGCCCGATCACCACGTTCCGCGGGAAAAAAAACTTTCCAAAAAATAAACTATTCAGAGCGCTTCACGCTGTACGGCGTCGCTGTTGTTAATCACGGCCGATGACGTCGATTGGACGTGCTCTGCCGGCGCGGCAAGCACATGAGGCCGATCACCAACGGCGCGCGGCGGCCGATCAGTGGCATAGGCTCTCGCTAAATGGCCCGAACGCTAAAATCAATACCACCGCAGTCTTAAACCGCCAGTATCGAAACGGTGAACAAATCGGCTCAGCTGCTCATGAAAAGGGTAAAAAATATGTGTTCATGGCGATATTCATAACATTAACCCTTTGCAGAGCGGCGGCAGGCCGGCCGGTGGGCCGCACTGGAGCCGCCGCCCGTAAATCAGCTGCGAGCGGCGGGCGAGCATTGTCTCGCGCCAGACGGACAGGAGTGGCTCGTCCCGCGGCGAGCAACCCTTTGGCGGCGGGGCGGCGGGGCAGGCGGCGTCCGACGCGACAACGGACCCGGCCGGGCCGGCGGCAGCGACTCCGTCACGCACCATCCCAATATCACGCGTCGAAATCGTGGCCGGGGACGGTCGGGACAGGCACCGCCGGGAAGGTCCGTGTCCGGGCGAGGCCGGCGGATCCAGCTGCAGCCCCGTGCCGGCACGAGGTGCAGCCGAGCAGGCCTGTGTCTGGGCCAGATCGAATAGACCCGTGTCCAGGTGAGGCCGGACAGACCCGGCAACAGACCCGTGTTCGGGCGAGGCCGGAGAGACCCGGCAACAGACCGTGTCCGGGCGAGGCCGGACAGACCCGGCAACAGACCCGTGTCCGGGCGAGGCCGGAGAGACCCGGCAACAGACCCGTGTCCGGGCGAGGCCGGGGAGACCCGGCAACAGACCCGTGTCCGGGCGAGGCCGGAGAGACCCGGCAACAGACCCGTGTCCAGGCGAGGCCGGAGAGACCCGGCAACAGACCGGTGTCCGGGCGAGGCCGGACAGACCCGGCAACAGACCCATGACCGGGCGAGACCGGACAGACCCGGAAGCGGACTCGTATCCGGGCGAGGCCAGACACACCCGGTAGCACACCCGTGTCCCGGAGAGATGCAACCGGACAGACCCGGCCGTAAACCCATGTCTGGGCGGGCTCAGCATGTTGATTTCCGGCCAAACCCGGAGCTGAAATCGCTTACACCCAATTTGTATCGCGAACGACAGCTAGAATGCATTGCGGCCTCGCTCCCGTGCGTCATCACAGAACGGAGAAGATATTTACTACGTCAGCGCCAAGCGGTGGCGATGTACGTCATCGGATGGTTCAGCCGACCCAATAAATCCACGGCCCGTACCAGCCGTCCCCATGCCCCATCACACACACCCGGCATATTGCAGCACTGGTTCGTCATGTACCCATGAACGGAAATGCGCTGATTTCGCCAATCAATGGCCTGAGCGGCAGGGTCGGGGGGCGGCGTGACGTTCAAGCCCGACGGCGCGCCCTGCGCGGGCCGTGTCTTCCCGGGGTACGGGGGTACGGATGCCCGTGGCTCTTCATCACCAGTTCGGTCCCCGTCGTCCCGGGGCACGGGGGTGCGGGCACGCCGCGGCTCTCCACCGCCAGTTCGGTCCCCGTCGTCCCGGGGCACGGGGGTGCGGGCACGCCGCGGCTCTCCAGCGCCGGCTCGGTCCGTGTCGTCCCGGGGTACGAGCACGCCGCCGCTCTCCAGCGCCGGCTCGGTCCGTGTCGTCCCGGGGTACGGGCACGCCGCCGCTCTCCAGCGCCGGCTCGGTCCGTGTCGTCCCGGGGTACGGGCACGCCGCGGCTCTCCAGCGCCGGCTCGGTCCGTGTTGTCCCGGGGTGCGGGCATCGTGAGCGCCGCCGCTCTCCAGCGCCGGCTCGGGCCGCGGCGACAGCGCCGTCCGCGCAATGGTCCGACGATAGCCGCCGGCCGCCTATCGATCTTACACCGCCGACACGGCGAGTTCGACGTAAAACAAATGGATTGCAGTCGGCCCATATCTTAAGCAAATACAAACACGATTAGGCGGTGCAATTGGATTAGTCGGCGTTATTGGGGGCGGCCGGTGGAGACTGGACGGTTGCGATGACCGATAGGGGGCGTCGACTGCAGCCCAAATGAAGATGGGTTGGTGGGCGGGGACGACGGCCCACGGAGGGGCACAGCGACCGTCGGATACATCGGTCGCCCTACCCCCCTCTTCTCTCCGCCCCCCCCCCCCTCTCCCTCTGCCGGTGGGCAGGCCGGGCCGGGGTAAGGGCACGAGTCGGTCGAAGCCAGATCCAGAGTAAGCACCATCAGGCTTGGGACATGGTGTGTGGGCCCGGTTAGGCTTCCCTACGAACCAGTGCTCCAGCCTAGCGTCGAAGCCACCGCTGGATCGGTTTGAGTTTTTCGCCTGGAGGCATGGGGTTTAGTGGGCGGATAATAGAAAGTCTTGATGCGTACTGAACTGCGATTTTTGGAATGACGCATTCGTGTCCACAAAACAACAACCGCTCGGAATTTACTACAGCCTAAATCGCTTGCGTTAAAAGCAACGTACCAAGCTCTGCCCATGTGGCGAAAAGACAGACGATCAAAGAACATACTTGCCAGCTGACAGCCAACGCACATTTTAAATGCGTATGCATGATGCTCAATTTACAAGATTGACGAAGTAGGTAACATGATAACAGCGGAGTCGTTTGTCGCCAGACGACACTCTCCACAATACAAAAGCTCTTGTAAGCTGACTTCTTGGCTAGATCCTCATAGATCCCCTGGGTCATATGAAGTCATGTGGAAACATGTTTGACCTTTTCGCAAAGCGGGAAATGTAGAAATTTCTCTGCGGGCTAAAACAGCAAGTTGTCGGGATGACGACTCGAAGTCCTCTACAACCTTATTGTAAATCGTTGCACCAAATACGAAAACAGTAAAAAGAAGTGCCCATAAAGCAAGCAATAAACATGATTTGTGCTGAAAGCCCGTCATTCCATTTGTGTTAAAAACGCTCCAACCATAGGTAATGATGCAAAAACAAGATGGAGAGACGAACGTAACTATCCATTAGGATGCAGAGCGCCGCAGAGCGAAAGGCGGAAACTACCGATGTTATACAGCGCGCAAGCATATGGGAAATCACCACGCAGGCCGGCCTTCTCATTCCATCACAAATGTTCGGTTCCCGTCCGAAGTTCTCCGTCTCAGAAACGCGCGCACTCTACCGTCCGCCGCTCTCTGCGCGGGCCGCGTGGCGGAGCGGGGATTCGAGGCTTGCCTCCGGTGGCGGGCCGTGCCGGCCGGGCCGGTGCCCTGGCCGCGGAAATACACGAGACGAGAGCTGACTGGAGGAGAGATATTCGGGGCCGGGGCGCGGCCGACAGCGTGTATCTTTCATTAGATGGAGAGCTCGGGACGACGTCTTGTGACGGGAAGTGGCCCGCCGGGAATCCCCATTCCGCCCGCTGCACTCCCGCCATAATGCTGCAGATATGCACTCCAATTTAACCAGCCAAATGTTATTTATTGAGTACAATTTGCATGTTATTGCATTAGTCCTAGGTCGCGAAATCATCCCGGCTAAAAAACTTCAAACGGAAAAGGTCGGCACTCTGGAACAGACCACTCGCTACAATCGCGGGAGAAGACCGGGGACCGAAATGAGGCATCGTTGGCAGTTCTCGAGTGGCGGCGGAAACAGACGGCGAGGGGCCTCATATTGCCAAGGTTGACAACAGACGGCCGGCGCCGTCCTATTCCCGTCATCGTAGATAGGTAACTCAGGCCCGCCGGACCACAACTCAGGGCGCGGCTCAAATGAACGCTCCCGGATGCCGGCGTATACCATTCAATAGCCCCCCGATTAGAAATATGCTAAGTCATGGACATAGCCGGCACAATATCCGACCGACGTCTGATTGAAGACACCGTGACGCTTTGTTGTTGGAAAGCGCTGTTCAATCTCTCTTATCTGGGAGCCGGCGCCGCGGACAGCTACTAATGCAAAAAAATGCCACCTCTTAACACGCGCCCGGGTGGCCGGTTGAATACCATACGCTCGGGCGTGGTCAATATGACCCCCTTAAATCTAAAAAATTACAACAGCTAGAGACAATAAATTCACAGAGTGCATTGGCCTGCACCTGTACTTACTTGTGCTGTATTTGAAGTCCCCTGGATATGACCTTCGGGTGAAAAAGGTAAAACATGGCCAAACTTCAGATTGGTTTCCAAAGTACCCCCGGAGTTCTCCATACAACCGCCTTGAACCTAGATACCTGCTTTAAATAAACGTTCACTGGTGTTCATTGCAGGTCAGTGACCTTGTTTGACCTTTAGAAGGTTATTGTGAACAAAAACCAAGAGATTGTTTATTTTCTAATTTCAACAAGTGCCAAGGATTACGCCAGGTAGTATGTTCTTTGAAACAAAAGGTTAACTTGGGTCCCTTTAGGCCATTGATCTACCCTGGACTTTAAGAAGTTTATGGAAGCTATCTGTCGCGGTCCGTGTTATCAAGAAATTCGAAATGAGCGTCAGAATCTACTTTATTAAGCAAGCCCGCCAGTCAACAAGCTAGCTGGTTTTGACCTCGGTCCGAAATTCATACCTTACCCAAGGCTAATGGAATGTGTTGTAGTCCTAAATTGAATTGTCTAAGCTGTCTAAGGAACTATCTCAGAGATGCATGGCTTCGTCTAATACTCCGTTATCGCATCAGATTGAACGATTCCCTAGAAATTGCCG